AAGCACGGGACGTGCACCGGTCTCGATCAGTACACGTACATGACCACAACCATCGCGGGCATCACCACCGCCACTCCCACCCTCTTGGGGGAGATGGCTGCGACAGCCACGGCCGCCTCTCCCCCCCACCCTCCCTCCCTTCCTCTCCCCGATTTGGAAACGGCTTTCGGGGGCCCGGGCATGGCGGTGTTGATGTGCAACGGGAAGAAATATTTGACAGGCGTGTACACATGTTGGACGAAAGACAGTAGCACGCACAAGCCGTACGCCCGCATGCAATGTCCGCCGGCCGTGGTTGCGGAGGGGACGTGTCCGAAGGGAGGGGAGGTGGTGGTGCCGATTTTTAAAGCTTGAGGGCATAGACATAGGGGTCATGGCATGTGATTTTGGGGGGGAGGGATACTCAGGGTGTGCATTTGGTTTGGTCGGGGATTAAAAGATGGATGTGTATATACATATGGCAAGGGGATGGTGAGTCTGACGGGCAGGCCACTGTCATGTCCTTGGTACAAGCGTTATAGTGACTGTATCCGTGAGGCCACGGCATGAACAAATGGAATAAATCTTTTCTTCTTCGAAAAAAGCTCGCCTTTCCTCTGTTGGGTCACCCTATTAGTAGTCATCTTTCCCCCCGATGGCTGCTTTCCATCTTTAGGAGGAGCACCCCTTCCGGACGTGCCATTTCCATTCTATTACTTCGCGTCAGTAAGTCTCCCAATCGAGTTTTGGGAACGGCTTATTAATATGCTTTCGAGTGCCCTTCCGTATGCTCTCAACACAAATGGGGTGCAATTTGCACACCAGCTTGATTCGTAGCTTGATATGACCCGCTAGAGGCGCCCGGCATCAAGCAAGAGTGTATCTATGTATGTACTCGTCACTTGTTGCTAAAGTTTTGCGCGCATTGTTGTGCTTGAATGGTGTTGAAAGCTTGTGCGAGTCCTCCTCCCACGGCATTTGGAGCACTTCTCATGTTGTGCGGTAATTTGCGCGTTAAAGAACCAACGCAGTCCCAAATGGGAGACTTTGCGACATTCTTTCCGTGTATTTTAGTCTTTGAGAATGCGCACGCACTTGTCTACCGTTTTGGTCTATTTTCACTCATCCGTCGCCACGGTCGACGCCGGAGATGTGGTATCACGGCTTCTGAGAGCAGACAGATGTTCGAAAGTTTACGTTCCCGTATCACTTTGTGAACCCAAACACTTGAGAAGACATACGAGGTGTCCCAGTTCGAGGTAGGCATTACTTCCGGATGTTGCATGGGAGAAAATAAATGACATTTTTATATCATGGGTCAATGGGTTCAGCTTGGGGGTATTGGCAGACACTACATACTTTTAACCGCAGCTTTTGAGCAACTTCCTGTGTTTAATGTCGAAGACTTCGCAACGTTGATTTTGACATGCCAACAGAAGGCTGATATGATATTTGGATGAGACCGTCCATAAGTCCACCATTTTTGGCCGTGGACCTTGCTTTAAGCTATCGACTGTTGTTTTCCTACCCCGCATCACAGCGTCAAGTATCACGAAGTGCATGCTAATCAGCACCACTCCGATCAATGCCTACGCCTGCTCCGTCCACCACGTCTTCCTCTGTCACTCCTCCGCATCAAGACATGCCACGTCTGCCAGTCGCAACCTTAGGTTTCCCTCAACTGGGAGATGCGCGTCAATTAAAGCACCTTTTGGAAAAATTTTGGAGCGGACAGTGCACTGAAGAGGAGCTTATCCATGGTTCCCAGAAGGTTGAGGAGGACGGCTGGGCCCTCCAAGCTGCGACCGGGATCGATGCGATTGGTGTTGGGGATTTTGCTCTCTATGATTGGGTTTTGAATTGGATTGAATACTTGGGCTGTATCCCCCCCCGGTTCCTGCAGCATGCCCATGCGAACAATCTAACCGTGTTGGAACGGCATTTTCTTTTGGCCCGTGGTGGTGATGGAGGCCGGAGCGGCGGCGAAGGACAGCATTCGGCAAGTGAAGATCCGCCCATGGTTGGTTTGGAAATACGAAAGTGGTTCGACACGAACACGCACTTTCTGGTTCCTGAGTTGGATGAGCGCATCACACCCCACGCCCATTTCGATTCCCTCCTTGACTCCCTGCGTCGGGCCAAGTCCCACCTGGGTGTGCATCGGGCAGTCCCGATGCTGCTGGGTCCTGTCACGTTTGTGTGGCTCGGACACCTCCGGCCGGAGGACAAGCGGCAACAGGAAAGTTTCGACAATTGGTTGGCCTCCCTCGTGCCTGTGTACTGCAGCCTCCTCGACTCGATCGCCGAGATGGGCTTTCCGGAAGTGCAGTTCCACGAACCCGCGCTCATCACCGAGCATGGACACACTTTCCTCCTTCCCTACTTCAAGAAAACGTACCAGACGCTCTTGCACCACGCAGCTCGGAGCGGCGCCGGAGACCAACAGAAAGAGAGGTCACGCTTCCCTGCCATGGGTATAGACTTGGTCACCTATTTTGACGAAATGCACGAGGCAGTCTATCGTGCCGCCATTGCCATGCCCTTTGCTGCCTTGTCCTTGGATTTCACCCATCACGGAGGCTTGACTGGGGGGTATACCGCCTTGATGGAAAATTTTGGTTTCCCCCCCCACATGCGCCTGGGTTTGGGTGTCTTGGACGGGCGATCTGTGTGGAAACCGGATCCCTCGTTGGTCCTCCCCGACATGGTTCTGTTGCGTCAAGCGGTGCATCGCATCCGGCTCCAAACGTCGTGCTCCTTGTGTTTCCTTCCGTGGACGGTCCGCTCTGAAACCCAGCTGAAAACTGCGTACCCCCTCGTCTTTCCCCTCTTGAGCTTTGCCACGGAGAAATTGGTCGATCTTTTGAGTCTGGCCGAGGCCGCCACGGGCGAGGACGTGAAGGTCCTGGAGGAATGGAAGTGGACCCGGTTGCAACGAGACACCAGCTACGACCCCCCACACAGCCGGAGTTCTCGAGGCGCCATCGCCGCACGCGAGCGATCCAGGAATCTAGTACCCGCCGACTTTGAACGGTCCTTGCCGTACGAAGACCGTCAACAACAGCAGGTATCTCACAAGCGGGGCAGCATCCTTCCCACGACCATCGTCGGCTCTTTGTCAGGCGCGGGACAGAGGGGGCGCGTCACCGATCCCGGGGAGGAAGGAAAGCGGGTCAAGGCGGAAATTGAGCGGGTAGTGCGGGTGCAAGAAGCCGCAGGCCTCGATATCTTGATCCATGGGGCTTTTGATCGGGCAGATATGATTGAAGACCTGGCCGGGCAATTGGAAGGAATGACGACGACCGAACACGGCTGGGTTCGGGTGAGTGGAGCACGGTGCGTGCGCCCGCCCATCATTGTCGACGTGATTTGGCGACCTCGGCCATTGACCGTGGAAGGTTTCAAGTACTCCCAGTCGTTGACGAACCGAGTCATGAAGGGACAGCTCCCAGGTCCTACTACGATGCTGCACTGGTCCTTCCCCGCCGCCGACCGTCCGCACAAGGAGCAAACTTTGGAGCTGGCCCTCTGCATCCGCGACGAAGTGCGGGATTTGGAAATTGCCGGGGCGAAAGTTATCGAAGTGGACGAAATGGGGTTTCGGGAAGGCCTCCCGTTGCGAGGTCAGAAACGAACTGACTGTCTGGCCTTCGTGGTCGAGGCCTACCAACTTGCCACGTCCATCGCCGGGCCGCACATTGAGATACACACGCATGTCGCCTACACGGAAGTCGAGGATTGCATCTCGGCTTTATTGGCCTTCGATGCCGACGTCTATACCTTCGAGAACACCCGGGCCCAGGATAGGGCCCGTTTGGCTTTACAACGTGCGGGGTTCTTGCGGCGTTTGGGTCTGGGCTGTTTCGACGTGCATTGCCCCAACATCCCTTCCATTTCCGATATGACCGCCCGTCTTCGGGCGCAGATGGAGGCCTTTCCCCCCGATCAATTGGTGGTGGTGCCCGATGGACCGTTACGGTCACGGCCGTTTCGCCATATTCAGGACGCGTTGACGAACATGTGTACTGCAACCAAGGAGCTGAGGGAGGCGTGGGAGAGGAATCAGCAAGCAAAAATGCCGACACTGACCGAGAGTCTGCGCAGCCGCAGCGCAAGTGTGGATTCAGCCAACAGAAATGGAGAAAGGGGTCATAAGGAAGAGAATTCGGCGCGAAAGAGAGAGGCGTGGGCGCAGTCCCCTTGGTAGTCATGAGAGAGGAGAGGGGGAGAAAGGAAAGGAGGGAGAAGGAGGAGGATGAAGAAGAGGGAGGATGACAAAAGAGGTGAGGAAAGGGGGAGGAGGAAGGGGAAAAAGGAGGGGAGGGAGGAGAACAGAAAAGGGAGGATGACAGAAGAGGGGATATTAGGAGGATGATGAAGGAAAGGAAAGACAAAGACGCCATCGCATTAATAAAGACAATACAAGGAGGGAAAAAAGAAACGAAATATAAATTTTGGGGCCGCTCAAGCCATCATGGGGTACTTGCTACTGGCATGGTGACACAGAGGGATCAAGCCCACACACCTTCCTTCTATTCTTTGGTTGCGGTCCCTCCCCTATTCCCTCTCGCAATTCTCGCTACAAACTGTGGGACCTCCTGCTATATTCTTTCTGAATTTCCCCGTAATAACATTAAATAGCCCCCCCACTTCCATTTCCCCTACCTGTTTCTCCCTGTGCAGGCAGCATGCGTCGACCAATCATTTTGAAAACCTCCCATTCTCTCCCTCTTTCCCTCCCTCCCTCCTCCTTCCCGGCTGTTGCCTAGGCATAAATGGGGTACCCGTTCGGCAGGCCCATGCCTTTACAGAACTCGCCCGGGTCGTTGTACCGAAGGTGGCGGTTGAGTCTAGAGATCTTGACCATATCCTCGGCGGAGAGGGTAAAATCGAAGACGTGG